TCCGCTGTGGAGTGAAGGCTATTCAGAATAAAATAGAAAGTGTAGAGTGATTGAATATTGAACTTTTTACATCCCCCAATACATGTGTAATGATTACAAAAGAAGGATTTTCTTGGTGATCATGAGTTTCACATCTTAAGTAAATTTTATTTTGAATAACTGGTAAAATCGAAAATATGTACACGCAAAACTTGACTCGAACACTTATAAGAATAGATTCTATAACAACATTGTCGTTCTTATCGAGGTTCACTGTCGCCCGTGGCGCTATGGGTAGGTCCTTCACGTTGCATGCAAACGACTTAAGTTTGATTCCCGAATTGTGAAGGTTTTCCTCAAATTAATTATATCTCAGCTTGTCTGCGGGTTAGCACTGACAAACATGGTCGGAGCTTCCCGTCTCCCAAAGATCAAAATTTAAATATTCTGCATTTCTTTACTTTTTTCCAAAATAATGTACAATCAGACATCAATCTACAACTTTGTGTAATAATACACATAGCAGAGATCGGGTAAGACGGAGATTGTTGCGGCAAGGAGTGAGGGCACCGACGGATGAACACGACTATTATCTTTTTCCTTGTATTTTTTTTTGGGGGGGGGCGGGGGGTTGTCTTGAGGGGTAATATTTATCTTAAATACCATGTTTATGGCAGTGACGATCATGTCTTGTTGTTTCTGTCATCCTCAGAATTCGTTTTGAGGGGAAGGGGGTATTCTATATCTATCTAAAATGCGACTTTCTTTACGGTAAATATATTCCTTTTTTTGTATCTGTCATCCTCAGTATTCATCTTGAGGGGAGGGAGGGTACCTAATATTTATCTGAAATACGACATTCTTCATATTTGAATATCATCATCTCTTGTTGTTTCTGTCGTCCTCAGTATTCATCTTGGGGGGGGGGTGTTTAATATTTATCTGAAATGCGACGTTCTTCACAATAGATAATTTCACGGTAAGGTGCGCCATCTTGCCCAGGGGTATTGAGGGTTACACCCGTGCATCTCTGTTTACATCCGGTTTT